GGGTCAGCTGTCCTGGCTGTGCCCCCTCCCAGCTTCTTGTGCACCTCCAGCCCTCCCAATCGGCAGAGCATGGGAAGCTGAAAAGTCCTTGACTAGTGTAAGCACTACTTAGCAACAACTAAAACATTGGTGTGTTATCAACATTGTTCTCACCCTAAATCCAAACCACAGCACTGTACCAGCTACTAGGAAGGAAATTAACTCTAACCCAGCCGAAACCAGGACAATATTCTTAAGTATGTTCCTGAAGACTGGAATTCATTATAAGTAACCTATTACACAAAACAAATAAACTTCACTTAGTTCTTGAGTTCATGTGAATGGCCTGTATTTACAGAAAAAAATCTTTGAGATTCACATAGGTCCATGAATCTATGAGTTTCCAAAGATGATTGCAGTTCCTGTCTTAATCTGAAGTTTATGGCCTTTTTTATACTTAGTGATGACTAAAAGGATTTCATGTTTTAGGAAAAGTCCTTCCTGGGTACCTTCAATTACACTCCTCCTCTGATGGAGTGTTCTTGTTCTTAGAAAATTTTCTTCGTATGGTCAGGATACTTTTCCTTTTTTTTTTTTTTTTTTTTTTAAAAAATGCTGAATCCTTTATTCTGCAAGGAAAAATAACCTGGCAGAGACAATAAAATAGTACGCATTTTCTTTTTTTAATCCATTGTGTATAGAAGTTGAATTACTTTTGCTCATCCTCTTTTCTTTATTTTCCTTCATTTCTTTTGCATAGATTTCAGTTGTTTAAGAGGGTTCAGGCATCTCTGCTTGCTGTTTTGAGTCAGCAATATAGGGTTCATTCTCAGCTGCTGAGTTCGTGGTTCATATGTAATATGCTGTAGCAAGCTGGATGATATTGCCCCCTGAGAATCTCATTAAATTTTCACTTTTCACCTTTTTATGAATGTAGAACCTTGCAAAAGTCTTTAAAGTCAAATTTAGTCTGCCTCAAAGTTCTTTTGTTCTTCTGATGTAGTAATTTTAAAGTTGACATAATTAAGGATAGTATTTTAGCATGTATATAGTTTTCTTGTCTCTCAGAATTCTCAGTGATGAACTGAGGCTTCAAAAGCAATGTATTTTTGGAGTGTAAGTCTGCAAAATTATTCACTGAACTAAAGCTTAGAGTATATATAGAGATTTGCAAAGTCAGAACACAAGTTTGCTTGGTGTTGTACAAAGAGTTGATTTCCTTTTAAAAATATGTATACAGAGTAGTCCATGTTATAGTCATTACATTTTCAATTCATTGCATAAATATATACATTCAATGAGAAATTAATGCTATTAGACATTGTCTACTGCTTTGCTTTATTTAGATTTCATGCTTTTCTGGTGTTTAGAGCAACAAAAAAAATCTGTGTAAGAGAATACAGTGCTACTGCTATGATGTTAATTATGCTCAGTAGGTTTGGGCACATTTCTATTTTACTAATATTAGCATTTACTAACTTTAATAATGGAGTATTGCAATGTTGTCCATACTCTGTCTAAAAAGACAGTGCTTTGCTTTATTTAGATTTCATGCTTTTCTGGTGTTTAGAGCAACAAAAAAAATCTGTGTAAGAGAATACAGTGCTACTGCTATGATGTTAATTATGCTCAGTAGGTTTGGGCACATTTCTATTTTACTAATATTAGCATTTACTAACTTTAATAATGGAGTATTGCAATGTTGTCCATACTCTGTCTAAAAAGACAGGAGTCTTTTTACTTTTGTCTCTTTCTTCTGGTATTTGAATGAGAAACTTCTGCTTGCACTAAAGGAAGACAGAGAATAGGTATAACAAAACCAAAGCTGCATATGTGCAAAATCAAAGCCTACCTTTTTAATAAAAATATATTTAATTATAATTTACTTATTGTAAATACATGTAATATATTTAAAACATTAAAAAGAAGAATAATTTTGGTAAAACTCTTAACGAGTGTGCTTCAAAAACTTTGAAAATAAAACTTTGAATGCCAACGCGCTGCATTACTCTCATTATTTTGGTTCTACTTCAGTATGTCAAATTAGCCTGACTATTGCTGAAAAAATGGAATAGTTTTAAGTTCAAAGAGTAATCATGATTTTTCATGTCCATACTTATATTAACTTTTGTTGAATTATACCTGTGTTCTTCTGTGACCTGCAAAGTCAATTATCAGGCCCTAAAATCTTGCTTTTCATTTCTGAAGAAATATTAAATATTAAATGTCCATTGATCATCTATTCATGTAAAAGAATAAACATTCACATTTTAAATAGAAATTTGACAAGAAATATTAAAAAGAAATGCTGTTTGTTTTTTTTTTTTGCAGGTACTTGATGGTCTTGAAGGTATTGAGAATTACCTTAAAATCTTTAATTCAGAAGGCTTACATTTGCCTATCTTGACGATGAAATATGAGGAATTACAGGAAGCGATTAAAAGTTGCACAGCGAGCACCTTGCAAAAAGGACAAACTTTAGTTAATAAAGCAGATTCTCACAGGTATTCCCTCCATTTTTGCATATCTTCTGCATTTCTCCATATCTACCTGTTCCTTTATAACTTGACTAGTTAGAATCAGATTGCATAGAGCCAGTATAGTTAACTAAGTAGGTATGCATTTAAATGACCTGAAACTCAAAGTTTCTGCCATACTTATCTGTTGGTATTTATACAAACCAATCTCTTTAACAAAAATCTTTAGGAATACTACACACTACTTGTAAGAGTGGTGTCAAACAGTGGAATTGGTATGTTAGGGCACTGTTCAGAAACAATGGTTTAGTTAACATTTTGGAAAAGTAAATGTATGCAAATGAAAATTAAAGTATCAATGGCTATGAACACTCCTTGCTGCCCAATGTAATCCTTTTAGACCTTTTCAAAAGTCATCATTATAACAATTATAATGTGATTTGATGCAAGACAAAAATACAGGTGTTAAGTGCAGAAAATGTGGAAGTTTCTCCACTTCTTAGTAGTTTTAATTCATGAATGAGACAACTTTTTTTCCTTCCAAAGCTTTTGTTAATTATAGTGATGATGTACTCCACAGATATGATTTTTACACTGCTGTAAAGCATGACTTAGTTTAGAGTCAGTCCTAGTGGCTTAATATCTCCTACTTTTCAGGTCTTAGTAGGAGGCTGGTGCAATAAGAATGAAGACCATTTATACTAATGAGTTCTACTTTAAAGACAGAGTAGATAACCATGGCTTAGCTATACCTTCTCATTACATGCTTATGTCCTTAATTATTCCTGAATTTTGAATAGCTTTACTTCAACACAGCAACTGAAAGTCTAGATAAGATTTTTATTTCATCTCATAACCTTGCAAAAAATTTTATCTAAAGCGCCTTTACCTGTCACCCCAGATGTAATTGGCTTGAACCCAGCAAAGGAACGAAATAGAAAATTCAAACAGAAAGTTGTTTTGGGAACATGTGCATCTGGCTTTACAGCTATTGTTACTGCTTCAGGATCTCCTGATATTTTAATTAAATGGAAAGGAAATGGATTTTCCTCAGTGAAACTTTGACTTTGATTCCTAAACCAGCCATAATTCCAGAACACATTCTGCTGTTCTCTAGGCCTTGATGTTCTGCTAGACGTTACCTCAACAGAAGCAGATGTTGTGTTTCAAATTATGTCTGCACAACATTGATTAATGTTAGGAACGCTAAAGATCTTGATAGAATAAATCCCTAAAATAACAAGTCATTAATTTTCTTTCTTCCTTATTAAAAGTTTTTAAAAAAACATTTGAACAGTCTAAATTAGCAGTGAGATAGTAAGATATCATCCATACATATCAAGAAGAATAGGAAGAATTTGTCAAAATAACCCTATCAGTCATTTCTGGTAAATATCAATAAAAACAGGTAATGCCACAGGCAGATCTCCTGTGTGTCAAAGTGCTGCTCAAGATATTCCATAAATAAATAAAGAAGGTAAGATTTCTGCCTAGAAGACATTATAATGCTTTTCTAAGAAAGCAAACACAGCATATTATGGCTTTTCAGTTTTTCCCTGCCGCCTTCAGGCCTCATATTTAAGTGAGTAGTGCTAATACGTCTGTGCAGGTGGAACACTTTATATTCCTAGGCACGGGCTTGAGGATTACAATCATGGAATAATTTAAACTGGCAAGAAAAGCTGGAGGTCATTTGGTGCAATCCCTTGCTCAAAACCTGTCAGTTGGATTAGGTTGCTCAAGGCCAAATTTTTAGTATCTCCAAGGATGGAGATTCCATAGCCTCTCTGGGCAACCTGTTCTAGTGCTTAAGCACTCTCCTTGTGAAACATGTCTTTCTTATATATATATTTTTCTTATATCTAGCCAAAATTTCTGTTGCTGCAACTTGTGAGCATTGCCTCTTGCCCTTTTGCTGTACACCTCTGAAAAGGCTCTGATCCTGTCTTTTGTATAACCCCACTTCCTCATAGATAATGAAACACAGCGATTAGATCACCTCTTCACCTCTCCTCTACTCTGAAGAGAGTTCTGTCAGCACCCCCTTGTACATCATGTGCTCCAGCCTCCAACCATCTTGGTGGCCTCTGCTCAATTCACTTCAGCTTGCCTGTCTGTCTTGTACTGTAGGGACCTAAACTGGACAAACTGGCCTCTAGATGCAATTTCACAAGCCCTTAACAGAGGGGAGTAACCTGCTGGCTAGTCTCTTCCAGTTGCAACTCAGCACGGGGCTAGTCTTCAATGCCACAAGGATGATCCTGACTCACATTCAGCTTTTTGTACACCAGGACAAGTCTTTTTTTTTTTTTTTTGCCTAAGCCATGGCTTTAGGAGATACCCAGAATGCTCCTAGCCAGCTCATAAGCCTAGTAATGGTGACACAGTTAGTTCTGTCAGCAAATGTGGTAAGGTGTTATATTCCAGAATATTAATTTCCCCCAGAAATGTTCATGTTTTGAAAGAGGAAAGAGAGAGGCCTCTCTTTGTCATGTATAAGCCACTGTGCTGTCCTTAAATGCTGGCCAGTATTTAGCCCAATAATTAACCCACATGGGACAAGAAGATTTGTATGAACAGCTGAGGGTCAAAGGAGGAAGATTTGGACAGAAAACAGAACTCCTATCAAGACTAAATCTGATTACTATTTTGTTCCCCTTATGGCACAATTCATTGGTAGTCTTAACTGCCCTCACAGACTTCCCGTTTCCTTTATCTAACTGGACTGGAAATCCTGAAGGGCATGGGGAGTCACCCTTTGAAGGTGGTGAAGGGTGTGGATCTGAAAAAGTTTAGGTATCTTTTCAAAAAGCTGCTTTGCCATAAGACAGACAAGAAAGTATAATCTGACAATGAGATACATAGCTGCTAAGTGTTTGCAATCTGGTAGGATTCTTGAACTAGCTGGCAGCAAGTAGAAATGTGTGTGGAATTTGAAAATAGCTGCCAGCTCCCTGAAGGAGTAGTTGGAGCACAGTAATTTTAAAATTCCTTCATCATTTGTGATACAGTATTCCATGCTCTGCTACTTGGATGACTTTACTACTTTTTTTCAGACAATATATTTATTAATAAAGAGAAGGAATCATCTCACCTTGCTCAGGCTGGGTGACACTTTGTCGATTTTGATGAGATGATGCCCTGAATTGCACTGTATCTTCTGAATGAGGTTACTGGAAAATACATTTTTAATGCAATATCAAAGTGGCTGCCATAGGTAGTACTGGTTTAAATGCGGCGAGAGAAGATAGATTACTTGAACGTTAAAAGAATTAAAATGTAGATGGATTTCTGTATCCACATTGTTTTGTTATTTTAATTTTTAGAGTACCCAAAAACAAGCCAGGCAGTTTGTATGCATACGATAAGACAGCTCTAGTTGTTTATGATTTACAAATCTAATACTGATACCCTCACATTGAGGGAAGACTATGTTTAAGGCTAGTGACACTGACTTCAGTGGCATAATTGGAAATCCAACTCACAGTAAAAATGGAGAAATATGATGTTAATTCTGTCTTACTTTCAAATATTCTTGAGGCATGTTGCAGCCTTATACTAAAAGATAGTCCAAATAAAAGAAAATGCTGAAAATCTTCACATTGGAAGAGGAATAGATTATAGAAAAGTGACAGAAGGCAGTTCTTTCTTGTAATCATAGAGTGTGTCAAAATGAAAATATTAGTAAGTCTGATTTTTGAGCTTTCATATTTTTAAATTAAAACCAGCTAGAAAAACAAGAGGAGCAAAAATTTTTGTGTTTTAATTCCAAAAAAATTTTACAGTCAGTAACTTTTGTCCATGAAGAGAACCCTTTTTACTTTGCCAGCCAATTAGCTTGCCTATGAGTGTAAGAACTGTCTTTATTTTACTGCTGTTATAAATTTATTGTGTTAACTCATAACAAACCAATGATACTGTCAAAGATTTTATTGAGATCTAAATTATTATTTTCAAAAACTGCAAATCTTGTTCTCTTATTGCTTTTTTTTAAAGGAGTGGTGCTAGTAGAAGTTTTAAAACATAGCTCTTTTTAAGGAGTACTGAAAGAGAGGAATGACATTTTTAGAATTTAAGGATAAAGCACAAACTAACAGGTTGTTAATTTTTGAAAGAGTAATTTACAAAATTTGAAACCACCTACTTCCTAAAAAGGACTTAAAATTTGATTTCTCTTTGTGACCAATTCTTGGATCAGATTCAAACATAATGGTCTATTAATACCATAATTTATGTTAGTGTAGAATAAGGTTTTTCTTTGAGGTTGCAGCTTTTAACTCTCTGAGCCTGATCTGAAGTGAGGAGAAAATTTCCTTTAATTTTAGAGGGCAAAGGAGGAAACCTTGAATAAGTACCTGTATTAACATAAGTTTCTGATGAAACTAAAGTAATGAAAACTTACTTTGAACATGTTTGTCTTACAAAAATTCTTACGATGAATAAATTTCAGTAGTAAATCAATTGATATGTGGGTTTCTTCTTTTTTTTATATATCAAAACTTCAGATCTTAATTGTATGTGGTAACTTCTTTGCAATTTGAAGAGGACTGCCTCAAGTCCTCTTGATATTAAATGTTTTAATTTATAAGACAAGCCAGTGTTTTGTAAATTGGTGTTGCCTTTGCTCCTGTTAAAACAGTATCTTTAAAGAAATGTTGACTTAGAATGTATATGACATTCTTTTTTCAGCTACTGTAAAAACACTGAAATATTTGAAAGTCCAAAGAAAACATTCTTTTTAAAGTAGAAGTGATATGCCATATATTTTCACTCTTTTTAGGCTGTTCATTTGTGGTTTTAGTCTTTAGATAGTATAACTGAAGTCAGAATTATTTGTGAAATTAGGTATTTCTCAGTGAATCAGGATATCTGGCATGTGAATCTAACTTGCGCACTGGTGATAAATGATTTGTTTGGAAATGTCTTTCCTGTGTCCTACTCATTATCAATTTTGTTTGGATTCATTCTAATATTTCTCTTGGTTATTTTTGTTTTAAGGGTCACAGTTTAAAATTCATAAGTTACTTGTCATACAAATCAACAGAAAATGTGGTGGTTTTTTTTTTTTTTTGTAATCATCATCCTGATTGTTGATTTTGTTTGGATTCATTCTAATATTTCTCTTGGTTATTTTTGTTTAAAGGGTCACAGTTTAAAATTCATAAGTTACTTGTCATACAAATCAACAGAAAATGTGGTGGTTTTTTTTTTTTTTTTGTAATCATCATCCTGATTGTTGAGCAAAAATGAGAAATAATAACAGTTCCACTTTTCAATTTTAGCTCTTGGGTGACAGGAATTCAGAAAATGATGGAGTATGTTAAAAAAAAAGTAGATCAATTAATCAGGCAGTGTCCAGATTATAAAGAACTTACTTTGAAGAAACAACAGGCTGCCTCACTTGAAGATCATCTAAATAAGGTACATCATAACATGTCGTCTTCTTAATGCATTCATGAACAGTGCTTTGCCTTTCCATAATTTAGCTACGTAAATATTAAAGTTGACTCAAATAATTACAAATAACATATTGGTTTGTTAGAGGGTGCACAGTTGCAGTTAGAATGCTGAATGCTGTTATCAGCACAAATGAACCTAAAGCTGTTCTGAAAAATGCAGCTGTTTCCATGAGAACATTTTACCAGTGATCTTCAATAAAGCATGGATTTGCTTAAATAATGAGCTATTATAATTTGTTCTTTTGGAAAAGAAGTGAGCAATCAGGACTGTGACAGGTTTCCTGTACTGTTTCTATGTCTTCTGTTTCATTTGGCTGAAGATAAAAATAGAAGTGTGGCAAAATTGACGGTTAATAAGCATGGTGACTGTGAACCACAGCAAATTTTCAGTAAGGCTGAAGGAGAGTAGATTCATTAAGATACTGATGCATCAAGGACAACACAGCCTTCTTTAAGCTGTTGAATGTTCTGTAGTACTTCAGACCTTTTTAATGACTTGTCAGAGATGGAATAGACACATGGCTCCTAAATAAGGTTCCATGTGTAAATTCAAATTAAAAAATATAATCTTTTAACAAGGTTCATATGAAAGAAATCCCAGAGCATAGACCAAAAAAGTAAATCAAATTTAATGACTGAATAATTAAGTCTGCAATCTGATATTTTATAATATTTACACGATGTTTATAATGAACTATTCTGAATCAAATGGGAAGTCAATTTGCCATAAATGGGTCCCTTTGCATACAATTTATGTAGAAGAGGCCTTGTGGTATTAGAACACAGTGAAAATATTGTCGAGTTTAGCTGAAAAGATTTGCTGATAGCTGCTGTTGGTCTTGTAGAAATGATGTCACCAGCATATTGTGAATCTTAAGCTAAAACTTCAATTATGAAGGTAATTTTTACTCAAAATGTAGATCCCAATTTTGATATACAGTTTCATTCTGCAGTTTGTTCTAGTCACTTTGTTCCCAGTCTTGCATTAGAGAACATTTTGAAGATTTGAGTCATAATACATGGTCTTTCATTACAGTGAACAGTGCTTATTTTTATATTCCTATCAAGCAAAACACTTTTCATTCCAACCTTCTGCTAATGCAAAGTATCTCAAAGAATCTGGTGCTAAATTCAACTGCCCCTGAGCTTCATTTAATGAAGTTTGAACCTCAGTCAGCAACCACTTCTTAAAATATACGGTACATGTGAATTCACATGTCTAATAATAACTATACATACTATCATCTGCCTCTGCTTTTCATAATCTGTTTTGTTATCATCATGCATATATAAAATCTTACAGTGAAAATAAATGGAGTTGTGTACATGTATCTACACAAAAATAGGTTGCTTGGCTTGGCAGAGAAGCTTTAAATGTACTTTCTGAAAAAAACACGGAGCATAATAAAAGTACTTCTGCCAAGGTTATGATATCTAGATTATAATGCAGTTGTGCCTTATTGAGATAACAAGCCTGGGATACTTAGGATAAAGGAAAGCACTATCAACAAAATGAGAGCAAACAAGAGGGTTTTTTTCTCAAATTCTGACCGTACCTGTTAGAATTTTCTTAGGAGAAATAGTAGAATTTTATTCCTTTATATTTTCATTCCTGAATTTCTCTGATTATACAAAGTGCATAATCTAAACACCAACAGACAAGTGTTACTTCACTTTTTTCTATACAAAGTGATGTTTTATACTCTTTTTATACTGTCTACTTGTATAAATTAACTATATAAATAATGCTTTCAAATAAAGGTATCACAGTCGATTAAAAAAATCACCCCGATGCTTGCAGTTGGTATGGAGATTGGGTTGTATTTGTCTGAGTCGGAAAGAGTTTTGAACACACACCTTGAACTGGGATATCACCCATCACCCCGATGCTTGCAGTTGGTATGGAGATTGGGTTGTATTTGTCTGAAGAGTTTTGAACACACACCTTGAACTGGCTAAACAAACAAAGGTAAAAAAAAAAAAAGCAGCTTTGATAATGTTAAGTACTTTTAGAAACAAATGCATGCTGTATGTCATTTTGAATAAGGTGAGAGGCTGAGAGTTTCTTATGTATTCTTGGAAATAAAATAGGTCTATAGTTTAGTTTAAAACTGTAGTTAATGAACAAAACCACAGATCACATTACAAGTCAGTCCTTATATCACTGGTTATCCCCATTGTCTCTATCTCATTGTGTTATTTGTTACTACCTCAGTAGTAACAGGAATAGGAAGACTCTTCAACTGTGGATTGCTACTCCTACCTGAGGCACCAAGTTTAGAAATTGACTAGACAGTCAGAGGCACAGAAAACTCTTCTTGTGGTTTGCTGTGTCAAATAAAAGGGATGAGTCAGCAAAAAAGAAAAAAAAGTAGTTCCCAGCTGGAGAAACTTTGAAGGCAGGGGCTGTAAAGTTGCCATCAGATATCCATTGGTCATGTTGGGAATGAAGCCACAGTATGAAAGCACAGCAGCACTCAGCTCTGTAACACAGATGAGGCTATTTTTAAGTCACATCCAGGGCCTTTACAACTCCTGTTGCAGTACTGTGGTATCTAAAGTGGCTTAAAACCAGTTGAATCTCCTCCATGGTCTTGACACAGGTGTATATTTCATGGCTAAGCTGAACAACATGGCAGTATATATTTTAGGATTATCCTATGTTTTAGGAGTTCTTAAAACTCCATTACTCCTATGGAGTTCTTTTTTGTTTCAGGCAACAGCTTATGGAACCCAAGAGCTGGATCTGTACACTGTCTGTGGAAATAAAATTCACTTTAAAGAAATTCTGAAGAGCACATAGTAAGAATATAAAAATTTCAGCAGATGAGCAAGAGCCCCTTTTTGTTCCACAAGACTGTATAATAGTTTTTAGTGTCTTTTCTGCCAAATTTTTGCATGCCAGGGTGTTACCTTTGTTTGTTGCAGTGTACAATCTGCCCTGACAGTAGTAACATCTCCCACCTATTCTTTCTGTAGATTCTGATATGCTAGTTTGCGCTCTTGGCTGAATGCCAGAGGTAGATATGCTAAGTGGTATTGAGTTAAATATATAAAAGTAGATAAACACATAGACATAGACATATGAAGCTATGAGTTAAGACAGTGAATCTGAAAACCAGAATCCCAGCTGAATCATGGAAAATGTTAGTAACTCAGGTCTTGCTCAGACAGCATACTGTGACTTTCTTCTGGGTCTGAGCAGTTGATGCAGTAACAGATATCACCCACTATTTGATCTCCCTCTGTTTTCTGCAGATTTGCTGCATGCAAGAATATTGGTTTGGGTTGGAATGCAGGGCAGTCTAGCTTGATGGGTAGGGACTAGTCTGGAGCTACGAAGCAGTTATTGATTCAAGAATGAAGGCATGAGTGGAACTAAGAATCGTATGGTAAAGTGCTACAAGGACAGGCCTTAAAACAATTACAGCAGTAGCCTCATGAGGACCCAGTGCTTCTGAAGTCTCACTGTAGAGTGGACACTGAGTTCTTCTACGAGAATTGAGTATCAAACAAGCAGCCAAGAAGGATTTACATTCAAGAGAATCAGTTCAGAAAATTGGGCTATACTGTTTGTTAAAGGAATTGTATCCGTTCTGGCTATCGATGTTCCCATATGGAATGCTTCTCTTTTCATTCTTACACTGTGAAGTGGTTTACTCAATCTGAATACTGAGATTCCTACTTTTTTTTTCCATTCAAAATAGCTATTTTAATAACTACATCCATAGTTTTTAGCGTCAAAATGTTACAGGAAAGAAATGGTTATTTTCAGCATATAAAGTCCATTATGAGCTCTTCTTCAATTAAGTAATTGAATTATACATAAGGAAGCAATAGTAGTGAAAATTAACAATGTGATATGAATATTCACAAGTCCTTTTCAGTCATTATACGTATTGTTCTATGCTTGTACCCTCAAAGGAAACTTCACATGAACTGGAAGCAGCTGAGAGAATCATCAAAGATATAGAAGAATTTGAACCTGAGCAGGTGGCAGCTTTTTCTAGCAGAACTGACTTTCTGAATGAAGAACTGAAAAAAATTGAAAAAAATATTAGTTCAAAACTAGAAATTCTAAAAACTTATGTGGCCTTTTTAAAGTCAGCTTTGGAGGTACAGATTATTTATTTCTTCTCTGACTAGACTGTGAAAATCTTACAAGTGAAAAATGTGCTTTTAGCTAGCTAAGACAAATCCTGTAGATGCTGTGCCATGGAAGCACTGCAAGTCTTTGTAAGCTCCTTTGTACTTTAAAGGAGACCTGTTCCATCAGGGCAAGCAGCCCTGATCATTGAACTTGCATCAACATAGTGACTAGTCTATGTACAGATTTTCTACTGAATTAAATCACTGTTGTAGCAAGTATTATAATTGAATTTTTACTTTTTCTCCTGCACACATGCATGCTCTCATTATATACATAATAAAAATTCTTACATGTACATACTCTGACTCTTAATTTACTGATTTTGCTTCATATAATTTTTAAAGTATTTCACATAATATATTGATATAGATATTTATCATATTATAACAGATAGGTATTTATCGCTGTCTTGTACTACTTCCACTGAAATGCTAATTCATCTGAAGGGGTTTAAAAATTAAATATAAACTGGCTATAGCTGAAATCGTAATAAATTCAATACCAACATAATTTTGGTAGCTGTGCTAATGATGCCCAGGGCAGTTAATTTTCATTTTGATGTAATGCTTGTGTTAAGTTTCTACAACACTGTTGTTCTTTTATATTTAGAAAGAAATTGAGGATGTAATGGAACCTATCAGCTAAAATTAGCCATAGGATTTATTTATTTGAAGATAAACTGCCAAAAAATTGGATTGCATTTACTTCTGATTATTGCTAACTTCAGTTACTTCATATTAAACAGATCTGTGAAAATCATTGCGTTGATACGCTGGTAAATAATATCCATGTAATGGTATGTGACAGAAATTTGACAAATTGCTGCCACCTGTCTGCGTGCCATCTACTGGTTTACAGGTTATTTAAAACTTTTTTATTATTTAGTATTTGTCTAGACTTTAGGGAGGATGATAGATCTTAAAAACTGGAAAAGATTCAGAGGCTGCTATTGAATTTTATCATGTCTATATACCTTCTGACTATAGCAGCTCAATTTTTGATTTGTTTCTTGATGCTTATTTTATGTCTTTCTGTAGGTGAATGATGATATCCAAAACCTGAAGGAATTCTATAAATCAGCAGAACCACTACAAACAAACAGAGAGGCTGAAAATAAAATTGCAATAGAGTCAGCTAATAGTCAGTGGCAAAAGGCTATAAAGAAGATTTTTTCCACCCAAAATATGGGTTGCAATTTTCTTAATTTAGTGGATATGGTGAGTATAATCTGATAAACCGTATTGAATATTTGATGTTTGCATATGATGAGGTCTAATCCTAGTTCTGTGACTGATGGATTGTGATTTCTCCAGTACCTTGTTTTAAAGGGACTAATGCTGCTATATATACATACTTTTAAAATATGAAAGTATTATTCGAGTGCTAATGGCATTAAAAATAATATAAAAAGGTTTGTGATTAACAATACAGAGCCCTTAATAAATGATCCAGTATATGCATACAAATATAATACATGCATATATCTGTTTTATTCATGTTGGAAAGCAAGTACAGTATTGTTTATTTTACTTCCACTAAGAGGTAGTCATTACTAATTGAGTGTATGAAGTTCTTCTAAAGAAATGGGTGCTAGAGCTACTTCCTTACAGATAATCTTTCCTGGTGTCTTTACGTTCTGTCTTGGGTTCAGCTGCACTGCCTAGGCATCCCTATCTAATTTTCCAGCACCCCTTCATGAGATGATCATTTGAGATGTGCAATCATTCCCTAAGCCACTCCTCCTAAAGTAATCCCAATTAACATAGACAGCCTGGATACCCAGCTGTTCTTTCTTTATAGGACATACTAGGGAGCAGTTACACTAGGCTGAGAAGGGGGAGCTGGTGTTGGTAACATACAGCAGCATGCAAGATGAGCTGGAAAAAACTTACTTAAGGAGGAAAAGTGCTCAGGCAGTTAGTGTGGGCTAAAGCGTGTGCTGTCACAGCTGGATGCAGCCAGGCACAGATAAGATAGTGTGAAGGCAAGCTGAATATGTGTGAATATGAGGTTGCACTGCAGTCACTTAAAGTCTAAACATATCTTCAGATATTATCTCTCTAAAGACCTGGAAGTGTGTTGCCACCATATTTTCTGATACTCTGTTCCCATGATATTCTTAGGTTGTAGTTTTTAAGTAACTGGAAGATACGGATCATACAAGTAATTTACAAACACAACTTTTCTTAAAAGAAAATTTCTGGAATGGGAAAAGTAGAAAGAGCGTTACCCAGTTTTCTGGTGTTTCTGATACAGGCTCTGTTAAAAAGAGGAAAAAACACCAAATGTTCAAATGCTAATGACTTTATCCCTCCCGTGTTTTGGTGCTGCTTTGGTTATCAGCACAAAGGAGTGGTCTTTTCTTCATCCACTTCACTTTCCAGTTGCTATTCCCCAAAAGGCCATTTTGGGTAGTTCTGCTGCCTATTCAGAAATTACTTTATTTTGTATGAGCATTAAACAGCCATCAGATGGCAATAATTCAGTGACCTGTTCTAGGTTTTAAACATTAACGTTAGCCATGTCCTCAGTATACAAATTCTGTTGATCTATGCCTGTTTCTAAGAGAACAGTGTATTTAAAGACACCTAGAGTACCAGAAATTTTCAAAGAAGTTACGCCAGAATAGTTGGTTTTTATTAAGCTTTGTTGAGACTTCTATGATGGAGTGACTACATCAGTGGACATGGGAAGGGCTACAGGTGTCATCTATCTGGACCTCTGTAAGGCCTTTGACACGGTCCCCCACAACATCCTTCTCTCTAAACTGCAGAGGTATGGATTTGATGGGTGGACTGTACG